TCACCAGCAAGGACTAGACAAACCATTCACATTCACAAATCGGAAGAAAATGAATCCTGGGGCAGGGATGGCTCTTCTAGGACTGGACTTGTGTTGGTTGCGTCTCTGTGTTCCTTCACAGCAAAACTGTAACCATGAGAGGATTGGTGTTTGGTTTGCACAAAGATTCCTCAGCCTGAAAATCATTAAGTATCTGCCCTACCATAGTTATCTTCCCTCCCACTAATCTGTAAAGCAGGGCAGTGGTGGTGGCACACACCTTTGATCCCAGCGCTCAGGAGGCAGAGGCAGAGGCAGAGGCAGGTGGATCTTTGTGAGTTCAAGTCCAGAATGGTCTACAGAGTCAATTCCAGGACAGCCAGGGCTACACAGAGAAGCCCTGTCTCAAAATAAACAAAAGAAAGAGAAAAGAAATAAAGTCATAGTCACATGCATTCTTGAAGAGAATTTCAAATAAATAAAACTACCCAGCCTGCAAGAATTCTGTCTAAACTTTGCCTTGGTCCTGCCTGTGTTTGTTCTGCTGGCTTTGCCACTTTCTGACCTGGAGCAATGACCTAACTACTGGTCAGTGGAGGGCACCACTTAGATCTGTGGCTTTAGGAAACAGACTTCCTTGCCCATAACAGCAGGTGATCTGATTTGAAAGCACTGTGGGAAGGGCTCACCCAAACAAACAGCTCCAGAACCAGATTGACTTAACTGGTAAAGTCCTTGCTATCAGCCGGGTGGAGGTGGAGCATGCCTTTAGTTCCAGCACTCAGGAGGCAGAGGCAAGCAGATCTCTGTGAGTTCGAGACCAGTCTGATCTACAAGAGCTAGTTCCAGGACAGCCTCCAAAGCCACAGAGAAACCCTGTCTTTAAAAAAAAACAAAAAATAAAAAAGTCCTTGCTATCAAGTGTGGCAATCTGAGTTTGAGCCCTGGGACCCACACAGTGGAAGGAGAGAATGAGCTTGTCCAAGTTGCTTGTGATCCACGTATGTGTTATGGTACTTCTTAAAAATAAGTACATACATGCATACATACATACAATACCTTAATATGTTAAAGGGGAAGGGGCTGGAGAGATGGCTCATAGGTTAGGAGCACTGGTTGCTTTTCCAGAGGTCCTGAGTTCAATTCCCAGCAACCACATGGTGGCTCACAATCATCTATAATGAGATCTGGTGCCCTTTTCTGGTGTGCAGGCAAACATGCAGACAGAGCACTGTATACATAATACATCTGTAAAACATATATATTTTAAAGTTTTTTTAAAACAGCTCATATTTACTCAAGTTTCTTGGCTTATTTTTTGTTGAACTTATGTTTTTGAAATGTACTGTCTACTGTTCCTTGGGTGTCTGTGTGTGTGTGTGTCTGTGTGTGTGTGTGTGTCTGTGTGTGTCTGTGTGTCTCTGTGTGTGTGTGTGTCTGTGTGTGTGTGTGTCTGTGTGTGTGTGTCTGTGTGTGTGTGTCTGTGTGTGTGTGTGTCTCTGTGTGTGTGTCTGTGTGTATGTGTCTGTGTGTGTGTGTCTGTATGTGTGTGTGTCTCTGTGTGTGTGTCTGTGTGTATGTGTCTGTGTGTGTCTGTGTGTATGTGTCTGTGTGTGTCTGTGTGTGTGTGTGTGTGTCTCTGTGTGTGTGTGTGTCTGTGTGTATGTGTCTGTGTGTATGTGTCTGTGTGTGTGTCTGTGTGTATGTGTCTGTGTCTGTGTGTGTGTGTGTGTCTCTGTGTGTGTGTCTGTGTGTGTCTGTGTGTGTGTGTATGTGTCTGTGTGTGTGTGTGTGTGTCTGTGTGTGTGTGTGTGTGCACGTGCCGGCTTTGCTTTCAAGGGTCAGAAGAGGTGGTCAGATTCCCTGCAGCTCTGAGCCACGCACAGTGCAGCGGCACAGGTGCTGGGAACTCTTCCTGTCCCCTGAGCCACCTCTCCAGACCCTTCTTTGGGTTTTCTTGCTTACATTATGCAACATAGGGATCCGGGCAGCACTTCCCAGTGTCCATTTCAATGGTTTAATGTGACAGAGTTGTTCAAAATAAAAGATGGTCGGAGGGACTTCAGTAAAAACCAAAACAGTCATTGTGGAGTGTTCTCCCTTTCCAAGCCTGGTGGGGTGAGACCTCCTCTTTCTCCTGGAATCCAGAAGTCCACCCGCTGCAGGTTACCAGTTGGTGAGCTGGGGTGGCTCTTCCCAGGGGGTTTCCAGGAAGCGCCTGTTTCACTACAGCCAGGTCATTTCTATCCTTAACCTTGTAGCCTGACCTCCCAGGCAGGAAACTCTGAATCCCATGGCATTTAAAAAGGGAAATGCTTTTTCTAATGGAAGTGGAGAGGAAATGCAAAAGAAATCTATCTTTTCTCAACCCAGCCAGGAAGTGGGTAAATGGCAGGTCTACTTTAGTAACAACGATGTTAGTCTTTACAACAGATTTCTTTAGTGAATAATTTGACCCTGGTAGGTCATAGATAAGTCAGGGTCTCTGAGTATAGAAAAGTTCCAGGTGCTTTGGTGGCTTTTCAGGAGGAGGGGTATTTAAAATATCAGTTGAAATCCCTGGTGTCCTTGGGTTGCTTCAGTCCTAGAGCAGGGGAAAGTATTTGGCACTAGATTTTATTTTAATTTTGATAAGAAAAATGATGATAGTTATTTTATTTTTATTACTTTGGATTTAGGGACTGATACTTTCTGAAGCAAAAATATGATTCAAGCCAGACTCAGATACGATTCATTTTCTCTCATCGGCAGAATTTAAATTAAAATACACAAATACAAGACCTGCACAATGACCATACTAGTTGGCATGGCAACATGGATGGGGGGAAAGCTTCACAAGACTTTATCCCTAGATGAAGAGCTAAAGTCAATGGCTGCTGAGGGAGGGAGGATCTGTTTTCTCCACCGATGAAATCCCTGATTGGTTATCCAATCCCAGTTAGTCAGCCTGAAACATAAACAGTGCTAAATGTACTCAGTGGGATATATACACATATATGGATATACACATATATAAATTATAAAAGAAGAGGTAGTTCATAAATTTGAGAAGGGGTGGAAGGGACTTTGGAGGAATTGGAGTGAGGAGGAAGCAGGTGTAAGTGATGTATATATACTACTGAGTAGGAAGTTCTCAAAAACAATAAAAATATTTCTGTTTTACTAAACTACTTTGTGTATGTATGTATGTGTGTAGGGAATGACAAAACGAAGAATAATGTAAATATGAGCAAAGTACAGTGCAATGCATGTACGAAAATGTCATGATGAAATCCATTCTCTTGTATGCCAACTTTAAAACTGATAAAAGAAACAAATGCAGTTCAAGATGCTAGAAACTCAAAAGGTGAGAAGTGGTCCTTACTCTTCAAACTCTTACTGGCCAGCTGGGCAAATGAGCTGTAAAACAAAACTGATTATAGTGAAATAGGAAAATTACACAATTCAAACTATACGCATTAGCTTTGTGTTAATACATACATAGCAGCCTCCCTCTTTAGTCACAGGGGATACCCTCCAAGATCATACATCCCCAGTAGTTTAAAATGCCAACTTGTTATAGCCTAAAATCACCTGAGACGGGACCTCACCTGAGGAAGTGCCTGCATCAGATGGTGGGCACAGCTGTGGAGACTGTCCCGATGATTAACTGAAGAAGGATGAGCCACATTAAATCTAGATGGCACCATTACATGGGCTGGACCCTGTGAGATCTAAGAAAGCTAAGCAGGAGCAGGCAGGCATACGTGCGTTTATTCTCCCTGCTCTTGACTGGTTACGCTCTAACTGTGAGTTCCGACCTGGATTTTCCTTTTCTAATGGACTGGAACCTGGAATGGTTAGCAGAATAAAACCCTTGCCTCCTCCTCCATTAGATTAGCAATGCTACCTAATTGTAAAAAGAGCGGTTCTGATGATACACAGTAGCACAGTTGCCAGCATCACTGCTCTTGCCCTTGGGGGCCGTCATTAAATAACATGAGGATGGCTTCAGCAACAGTGTTTTGATATGCCACAGCAGAGCTGATAAATGGACAGCTACAAAGTGAGTAATAGGAGTGCAGCTTGCAGAGTGCACGCTGGACAAAGAGATAATTCATGTCCAGGGCAGGAAAGAGTGGGATGAAGTGAGATTTTATCACATTATTCAGGATGGTGCAAGATTCAGAACTTATGAATTATTTATTCCTGGAATCTTCCACTTCATGTTTGTGCACCAGAGATGACTATGGGTAACTGTTGAAGCTGCAGATGAAGGCAGGCCACTTCATTAGCAATTAACTCAGCCCAGACAGAGGGAAAGAGGTGATGCCACATGGGCTGGATCTTAGTGATCAGCAGGCTGAGCCCAGGGGACACAAGGAAGCTCTTCCGAGCAGAGAGGATAGCATTTGGCAGATGCATGAACATTCTTCCGTAACTAAGAAATGGCCCAGGAATAGATAACTCAAGAGGTGATAAGACGGGGTGCCACGGAGGGAATAAGACTGGAAGAAGTTGATATAGCATTTTGGGTACAACCTTCCTAAAAAGGCGACTGTTCTAGGTGCTGAGAGATGGCTGGGCAATCAAGAACACTTGCTGCTCAGCCATGAGCACCAGAGTTCAGCTTTCCCAACCATATAGGGTGGCTCACAAATGCCTGTGGTGTCAGCCCCCGAAGATCTGATGGTGTCTTCTGGCACATACACTCACCACTCACATGGATATGTACATACAGACAGAAATAAAATATTTTTAAAACGAAAGTAAAATACGACACTTCACAAAATGTCCTGCAGTGTGTTTATTGTTTATATTTATTAAAGCAGTGGCTGATGGTTTGACCTGGGATTTGGGGTAAAGGGAGGAAAGAGTGTCACCTGGTCTTTGAACCCGGGGACAGATATTTCATGAACAGCTGGAGATAAATGTCATTTGCCTCGTGCCTCTCAAGTTGGTATTAAGCCTGAAATTGCTAAAACTAGTCACAGACCCAAGAGAAAGACAGCGTTTTCTCATCTCTGGTGTGTGTTCTCTAGGCTTGTTTGAAACGACAGGAATTCAAAAAAGACCCAAATGAGAAGAAACAGGGTCCGCTATGGGGGAAAGACGCAAGTGACAGATCTCGGTTTTCAAGTGGGTCATCGTCCAAACAGGTATGGAGAATTTAAGTCTTTTGCTTCTGTGTGTGTGTGTGTGTGTGTGTGTGTACATGCGCACACATACATGTATGTGCTAGAAAAAAAAGCCAGCTCCAAAAGGTATGTATTGGCACTAATAGTGGTTAAAGTGCTTGCTTCACAAACATGAGAAACTACATTCAACTTTCAGAACCCACATTAAAAAAAAAAAAAAAAAAAAAAAAAAAAAAGCAAGCCAAGTGTGGTGGTGTGAAGTTGGGATCTCAGAGCTGGGGAGATAAAGAGGAGGATTCCTGGAGCTCACTGCCCACATAACCCTCCAGAATTGGGAAAACACCAAGCTAGCAGGAGACCCAATCTCAAAAGGAAAAAATAAAGAGAAAGAAGAAGAGAAAACCTGGGTATGAGGTACCCAAGGTACAACACCTCCGCTGTCCGGACAACTGGCCATCACATGCATGCACACACACACGCCATCACATGCATGCACACTCACGCCATCACATGCATGCACACACACGCCATCACATGCATGCACACACACATGCCATCACATGCATGCACACACACACACGCACATATGGGCACAGAAATGAATAAGATAGAAGCCTATTGCAAATCCTAAAGGCAAAAGAGACATGAGCCAAGCCTGGGCATTAGTGGCGCACACCTTTACTCCCAGCACTTGGGAGGCAGAGGCAGGCGGATCTCTGTGAGTTCGAGGCCAGCCTGGTCTACAGGGTGAGTTCCAGAACAGGCTCCAAAGCAATACAGAGAAACCCTGTCTCAGAAAATAAAATAAAATAAAATAATAAATCGAGAGAGAGAGAGAGAGAGAGAGAGAGAGAGAGAGAGAGAGAGAGAGAAAGGAGAGAGAGAGAGGAGCCAGGTTCTCCTATCCTAAGCACCACTGGTCACATCCAAGCTGAGCCTCACTTTTGTCCTCTGGTGGTGACATTCATGGTCTATAAGATGTGCATTGATGCTAAAGTTGCTAGTCCTGTTGTCTCTGGTTTTAATTCAAATTCAGGAAGAGTAAAATGAAACTATAACAACAACTGGCAATTGTTTAAATATTTTTGTGTGTAACTTGGTAACAGTTAAGAACAATATAGTATTACAGCAATATGATAGCGTTCACAATAGCCATTGTTTACTCTAATTTAAATTCATTTCATAATTCTCATACGTGTATGTTTATCCATTATCTATTGTTATGGTTTTAAGATAGGGTCTGATGTATCTCAGGCTAGCCTGGAACTGGCTATATAGCCAAGGGTGGCCTTGAACTCTTGATCCTCCTGCCTTTACCTCACAAACACTAGGTATATGCCACCACACTTGGCTTGGTGTATGCATATTAAGATGTATAGACAGGGCATAGTGGCACATGCCCATAATCCCAGTACTTAAGAGACAGGAGGATCAGGAGTTAGAGGCCAGTCTGGGCTAACAGCACCCCACACCAATTCAGTTTACTTTCTCCTAATGTGATAACACCATGAGCAAAAGCAACTTGAGATGGAAAGAGTTTATTTCATCTTAGAGTCCTTCATGAAGAGAAGTCAGGGTAAGAACTAAAACAGAGACCATGGAAGGATGCTTCTTACTGGCTTGTTCTCTACATAGCTCATTCGGTTTTCTGGGTTTTGTTTGTTTTTGTTTTGTTTTTTGTTTTTTAATATATCCCATCCAGGACCACCTTCCCAGGGGTGGCACTACCAACAATGATCTGGGCCCTCATACATCAGTCATTAATCAAGAAAATGCCCCCTCCCAGACTTGACTACAGACCGATGGTGACATTTTATCAATTGATATTTCCTCTTGCCAGATGACTCTGGCTTATATCAAGCTGACAAAACATTAACCAGTATTCTCTTTGAGTCCACTAGTGTACCACACACACACACACACACACACACACACACACACACACACACACACCTTGGCCACATTACAGATGACAACTTGCTTCAAGTAGTCCTAAGGAGCCTTAGCTACAGTTTCACAGGCAGTTTGCAGTGGGGTGGGCACTCCAGCCCAGATGTGCTGACCGCAGAACAGAGCTCAACTACTGCGCTCTCCCTCCGTGTTTCATGTTTAAGTTCTTCTCTGTCTAAGAATTTCACTTGTTCTGTGTAAGAGCTAAAGACCACAGACTACATCCAACAATTAGCAAGGCGAATTGATTTAAGGTGAGTAGAATGCCCCTTATGAGTCCTTATTTAATATTTTATGGCTGAAACAGACTACAGAGCAGGGACTGCCTCTTTCCTTTCAGTAGCGTGGATCTCTGAGACAGATCTTGGATACCTGATATCAATCAAGCTCTTGATTTCTTCTTTAATCTACGATGTTCACACAGTGGTTATTTAACGTTCAAAAGACACCTTAAAAAACATCAGTGATTGATGTTTATGGACGTAGCTATTTCTCCAGGAAAGATGTATACTCCCTATTAAGGGATATAAAAGCTCACAATAAACTATCCCACCTAGAGTCTGAAGGTGAAAGAGAACCATCTCAGTACACTGGCAGCAGCCAGAAGGCTTCACCTGGGTCTCTTCCTGATGGCCAAGGACTAAATATAAGACCTGCTACTACGGAGCCAGGGGAATGAGGTTAAGCCAAAACTTAAAGCTGGTTTGGCTAGAACAACTTATTTTTAGCACTAAGGTAGATTCTGGCATTTTTACACTTAGAATGGAAAAAAGAAAAGAAACAAGGACAGATAAGAAAAAAATGTGATATAATTTTAAGTCAGACAGCAGCACATAGCAATTCCGAGATTGGGATTCCGGAACAAATGGACACCTGGTCCTGGTGTTTGTTTCCATGCAGAGTGTCACACCCCAGGTCACAGTCATGATTTCGCAGCAGGGATGGCACATGCCTCTGGAGCACTCTGGATGTGTGTGCTGCTCCTCTCTGCCAGCACTACAGGACAAGCTGCTGTCACAACTCCTGTAGCTTTTTCCTCCCGCTATAAAAGAAACAGCCTTTCAAGCATGGTTGGTTGTACCAGCCCTCAGACCACTTCCAAACGAGGACATGGCTATCCACTTAAAAGTAATTATGTGAAATAGCTTCTGTGATAATAGATTACTTGGATCTGGTTTTCTCACTCAATTTTATATTTACTTGTACTCAACACAAAGTAACAACGGACATTGCATAATATTGACCATTTCTATTAGAAGAGTAAACCCCAGAGGCCAGGTGTGGTGTGCATACCTTTACTATAAGTGGATCTCTGAGCTGGAGGCCTGGCTGGTGTACAGAGCAAGTTCCAGGCCAGCCAAGGGTGCATGGTGAGATCTGTGTGGAGAAAAAAAGAGGAGGGACAGGAGGAGAAGGAAGATGATGGCAAGAACAGCGATTTTTGTGCCACCATGCCTATGAAGCAATGCTTGCAAATCAAATTTAGTTCTTCAAATACTATCCAGAGTGCTTGAGTCTTACTGGTATAGAATCTCCATGTCCTGCCTTCTCACTGAACAAAGAGACAGAATCTTACTTTTCCACAGTTCTTCATTTGAAACACTGGGGATACTAGGATGTTTGACTCTGGACACAAAAACAGAGGTATAGCATGATGAGACACCAGAATACTGAATGTCCACCCCCCTCGACTCAGCTCAATACATGTTTGGTACCAAATAAATAAATAAATAAATAAATAAGATCAAGATCCCTTAGGAGACTAAAAACAGATGCAAGAAAGACCTTTAGTCATTTAGGCTCATACATTAGTTTGGATATTTCCCTCCCAACTTTGAGCCCTTCCTCAGATTTCTATAGCAGTCCAGTTGTTAACACCTTGGCCTGCCTCCAGTATCTCCAATCCCTGAGGGAATGCATGACTTATCAAATAAATTTCCTTCTAAAGGGTGCACGATGCCAGGGGTGCTGGACCTATTCTCCCAGAGACTCTAAGAAGAAAGAAGAAAGTTGGCATTTCCTAAAGAAAAACCAGGCCAGACAGATCCTGTTACCAGAGCCCGGTGTATTAAATGTCACACCTGGCAAAACATCCTTGGCCTATCAGAAAAGGGCTAGAAAAGGATACAGACAAGTGAGATTCTGTAAACCAAATAGCCCCTCTCAGGGTAGGGGGTGTGCCCCATCATTTCCTTCCCAGACCTAGAATTCTGGGTAATGTTTTGCATCTGATTTGTGAGGGCAGGCTTATCCTCTGAATTGAGTGGCTACTGTGAATGTCAATTGCTGAATTCATGGAAATTTTTCCAACATTCTGTCATTCTTTGAAGCATGCCCCGACCAAATGTTGACACTTGTATTGCAATTTTCATCACTTGTTCATTTCTTAACCCAGACTCCAACTGTCACAATTCTGATGAGCTTGGGACAAACCATCAAGTAATAGCTCTGGTGTCAAGCTATCATTTCCAGACACCTGCTTCAAGGTGGACAGATCTCCACCAAACACAGTTTCCCCAATGACTGCTCCTCTCTCTGTAGCCAGAGGCTTTCCTTGGGCTGTAAAGGCTGTGTTTAAGTCCAAAATGAAGCTATCTCTATCAAGTCTATTACCGAGATGTTATTTATTGTGGTATGTCTAAGTTTGTGGCTTGCCATCATGGAAAACATAACTGAAGACCACTCTGACCTTTGTCACTTTGTGAGTTTAGGCAAAATGTTTCAGTTCTCCAAGGGAACACTTACTGTATTATGCTTATCTTGCAAGATCATCGTGAGAATGAGGGAACTTTCTAAGTGATAAGCTAACATTAAATCATGTCTATAAACTGTTAGCCAATTCTACCACAAGTGATGCTCCAACAGGTAACAATGAAGAAACAGGTTCTGTGGCTTCTTGAAAATTTTTCTTTGCCTCTGCCCCATGCCAGGCCACGTTTTTAAAAGCCAACCTAATGTAGGCACTTATAAACCAGTCTAGAGGGTTGAAGAACAACATGGTAAACTATTTCATCCAATTAGAATTTACCAGAGGAATAGAAGGTAGCTCTACCTATCCTGTTGGAAGTTGG